GTGGGGTGAGGCATGGTATTATTTCAGCCATGAAAGCAAAGAGATTGTTGTCAAAAGGTTGTCAGGGATATTTGGCTCATGTGGTGTTGAATGATGATGCACCTAGTAGTGTGGAGGATGTTCGTGTGGTCAGTATTTTCCAGATGTATTTCCTGAGGATTTGCCTGGATTACTGCCAGATAGAGAGGTGGAGTTTGTAATTGATCTACTTCCAGGTACGAATCCTATATCTTTGACTCCTTACAGAATGGCTCCTGCTGAATTAAGAGAATTGAAAGTGCAGTTGCAAGAGTTAGTGGATAAAGGTTTTATTTAGCCTAGTACTTCACCTTGGGGAGCTCCAGTTTTATTTGTGAGGAAGAAAGATGGAACTTTGAGGCTGTGCATTGATTACAGGCAATTAAATTGGGTAAATATTAAGAATCGTTATCCATTGCCTTGTATAGATGATTTATTTGATCAACTTAAAGGTGCCTGTGTATTTTCTAAGATTGACTTGAGGTTAGGTTACTACCAGTTGAAGATTAAAAATGAGGATGTCCCTAAAACTGCATTCAAGACTCGATATGGTCATTATGAGTTTCTTGTGATGTCATTCGGGTTAACTAATGCACCAGCAGCTTTTATGGATTTGATGAATCGAGTATTCCAGCCATATTTGGACATGTTTGTTATTGTCTTCATTGACAATATTCTGGTATACTCTAAGTCTAAGGCTGAGCATGCTAGACATCTGAAGTTGGTGTTGAGCAGTTTGAGGGAACACCAACTATATGCTAAGTTTAGCAAATGTGAATTCCGGTTGAATCAAGTGGCATTTTTGGGACATTTCATTTCTGCTCAAGGCATTCAAGTGGATTCTCAGAAAGTGGCAGCTGTGGAGAATTCGAGCGACCTCGAACCGTCACAGAGGTACGAAGTTTTCTTGGCTTAGCAGGCTATTATAGACGGTTCGTTAAGGACTTTTCAGTAATTGCTTTGCCATTGACGAGGTTGACTCGAAATGATGTTAAGTTTGAGTGGGATAATAAATGTGAGCAAAGTTTTCAGCAGTTGAAGTACTATCTCACTCATGCACATGTTCTAACACTTCCAGATGATATGGGTAATTATGAGGTTTATAGTGATGCTTCTGAATGGTTTGGGTTGTGTATTGATGCAACATGGTAGGGTAATTGCTTATGCTTCGAGACAGTTGAAACCTCATGAGAAGAATTACCCTACACATGATTTGGAGTTAGCAACTATCATCTTTGCTTTGAAGATTTGGAGACATTATCTTTATGGTGAGAAATGTAAAATCTTTACAGATCATAAGAGTCTTCAGTATTTGTTTACTCAGAGAGATCTTAATCTTCGACATCGGAAGTGGATTAAGTTACTTAGTGACTATGATTGCACGATTGAGTATCACTCTGGTCGTGCAAATGCGGTGGCGGACGCACTTAGTAGAAAGACTCCAGCCAAACTTAGGGCTGGTTTGGTATTGCTGTGCTTTGAAATGGTATAACATGATTGTAGATGTCCCTAGCTTCATTTTGGTATAAATTGCATGAAAAATGGTGAAGAAATGAGCGAGATTAAGGAGTTTGAAAAATTGCCCAGTTTCCGGCGCCGGCGACAGTTGCCGGAGCTGGAGGTAGGAGATGGAAGAATATTCCGTCAAGTTTGACGGAATATTCTCACAGTGTCAGTTAGTTTGGACGGTTTCCGTTGGGTTTTAACGGAATATTCCGAGGAATATTCCTAACGGCAGTTAGGGAATCTGTCAGGATTCCCTGCGCGTGGTAGCGTGTCTTGCCGTGCACCCGCCGGCGCATGGCGGTGCGTGGGAGGTCCAAAACTATTTCTAAAAATATGGGGATGATCCTGAGGTTGTGTAGATCACTGTGGTATATTCATATACCCATTTTGAGCAATGTATGAGAAGTTATTAGCTAGTTTTGTCTATGAGCTTTCAAATAACGTTTTTATAGTTAATTCGCATATAGGTGAGACTTATCCCGAGGACGAGCGTATCCAGGGGCGACTCAGGGGTTACGACCCGTCAACATATCAGTGAGTGGGTTTTTGTTTTCAGTATATATTTATATACTTGATATATTTCCCAGAATTGCATTTTAAGAAAAGTATGCTTTGAAATAATATGCCAAATGCTTTTATATTTTGAATATGCATTTCATGATTGCATATATATATAAATGTGGTGCTGTGGAGGCACATGTAAGTTATGTTTGGTTATGTGAATCATCGATAATGTGATATGTGATTGAGTAATGTTGAGCTCATAAAACTGCACCTAGGGTGATTATGAATTAGCCAGAGATATGAAGTACATGCTTGTTTATTTACATCACCTCCCGCACTATATGCTCATATTGGATCCAACTTAAGTGCATAGTCTTGTTGTACAGACCTTATTTATGGTTCCGACTCATAGGTGACTAGCGAATTATCACCCAGCTATTATGAGAGAATAGAATTGAGCATAATTATATTTCACCAAATCTTGTCGTACAGACCCCTTTTCAGTGGTTCCGACTTATGTGCAGTATATTGCCGTATAGGTCATAATAGTGACTCCGGCTAGATTGAGTTTGAGCTATGAATTCAGCCGTACAGACTACCACAGGAATTCTGGCTAACATATCATATTTCTATGAAATTATTTTTACCTGGATTGTTTACTTTGTTATATTTTGGCATGACATACATATGAATATGATTATGTGAAGCATGAACCGACTTGATATGATTTCAGATATATATATATATATATATATATATATATATATATATATATATATATATATATATATATATATATATGCTTATATCTTGATTTTGGGAAATTATACATGTTTTACAGCGAGGGGTTAGTTATGTTGGTAAATGAAATGGTTTTGTAAAACATTTGTTTTGGCCCACTCACGTTTTCTGTTTTGCGCCCCTCCAGATTTTAAGTAAGCTTGTTGTTGGTGGCTCGAGGGCGTCGGCTGTTCTGACTCATTTAATTAATAGTAGGACATTCCTGGTACTGTATAACTAGTACTTGTCATACTGGATTGCACCTAGACTTTATGCTCTGATTATGAGTGTTTACTGTTTTAACTAACTCCTATCACTTTCTGTTTAGTAGTGCACTCTAGTAATTTGGTTTTCAATTATCCATGTAATTCTTATCATTATCGCTTCCGCACTGTACACATGGCTACGTCACTCTGACGTGACGGCCAGCATGCCTTGATCTAGGTCGGGGTGTGTCAAATACTATATAAAAAAAATTAAAACAATAGACATTAGCAAATAAAAATTACAACAATTACTAATACATTCATAGGGATTTGGTTGACTTGGTGGTGGACTTGGTCTGGGTGGATCATTATTTTGATCATTAGATGAATAAAAAACATTCCTTGTGGCATGGGGTCTTATAATTTTTGCTTACTTATAAGTTATAAGGGAAGAATTCTTCCTCCTTGGAGTATATTTGTTGAGGTCCTCCTTCATTCCCTCAAACTCGAACATTTCTTGCTCTAAAAGGTATGCTGCATCTTCCTTTTCCATTTGAGTCTCCATGAGTAAGAGCATTCGGACCATTTCTTCCTTTGTCTCCTCACGCCTTTCAATTAATTTTACAACTCAACAAAGCTTAGCACCAATCGAGTAATGTTGTTTAGACATATAAAACTGATCATACTATTGAAGTACTAGATAATACAAGTGAGCTCCACGTACAATGACAAAGCCAGGGGCGGATCTATTAAGGGACCTGGGTGGTCCCGGGACCACCCAAAAGCTCAGATAATTGGCTGTGAGGACTTCCAAGGACCACAAGTCTAGGCAGTGGTGGAGGGGAAGAGCAGTAGCTGCACAAATATTCTGGCTTTCTGCCAAACCAGAAGAAGAGAAGAAGAAGACTATTTACTTTTTAAACGGCATCCTACTATCCTAGGTCACGATGTCACGTGGAGCTTTAAGTAAAACAGTGAGTATTGATGTATTGTTTGAGAACACCATCCTAGGTCACGCGGGAGGCTGAGAGCCTCACCATTTTTTATTAAAACAAACAAAAAAAAAAACAAAAAGGGTTCGACTTTCAAACAATTCCACTCCACCCAAATTAACTCCCTAGTCCCTAATCCCCGTTCCCTAATATTCCCACCCCACCCAACGGAAGGCCACCATCTCTTCTCCGATCTCTACTTCAGCCTTCACATACCCATACATTTTAAGATTAACTTGATATTTATATTCATTCAATGCATTTAATAAGTGACTTTTCTCAATTGTAAGGGATTAGTGATCTTGCTAAAAAAAGGGTTGCATCAAATTGTTGTTTATATTAAGATTAAGAATAAAAAGTTGTAGTTGATCGTTTAATGTTTCAATGTTATTTTCATCTAATTTTTTTAGCTTTATATTAGGACCATCCGATATTAAAATCCTGGATCTGCCACTGGACAAAGCTAACTTGTATTAAAATGAAATGACATTGCGGTTAATTTTGTACGTTTAAACAACATTCGAGAATGTAATGACATTGCATTCGCACTCTTTTGAGAAGCTAATAGTACATGTTACATGACCTTGCGGTTGTCCTATTTAATGAGTATTAGGTTTTGATCACAGTATGTTGCAAGCGTCTGATTTTTTTTTTTTCTTTCAAAAAGGCAACCACCTGGTGGTTTTGCCACGACAATATACTCTTCCGGAAAGACTTATAGAAGCATTTTTTCAAAGTCAAAGGATATGAACCGATATCTCACATTCTATAATGCATTGCAATTACAAAAGCGACTCTTTTGCACACAAGTAAACACTTGTTCGGAAAATTAAAAGGGGTTTAGTAAAATGATATGATGTGTTTATTTAAACACGAGCTTGGAACGAAAGGAACGAAATTTGAATGAGGCGTTGAGATATTCACTAAAAGCTAGGAATCATAGTGTAAACATGTTATATTCTCGTTGCGATTTTTACTAACTCGCAAGAACCGGAATAAAAACCAGTCTAAATATTGAAAAACTCGTGTACAAAATGATATATATTTTCGTAACATTTCAACAGCACGAAATAGAAAACTTATTCAAGACATCCATTCAAGGTCAAAAACATAAATTTGGACATCAGAGAAAGCGAACTGAGAGTATGATTGCATCTCTGGAAATACAGCCAATTCAAGAAACAAGTGTTCACCTTTTCATCAGTTAAGTTTATGAATCGGATGTGGATCTTTTCTTGGTGGTGTAAGGATAGTACTCCTTGCCATTATCAATTCTCGTGGTCTGGCCCCCAGCATCAATGAGCGACGAAGTGACTGCCAGGGCTGCTCCAGCAGAAATTGCAGTTGAAATGCTCTTTCCTGACAGCAAATGATTAATGTAATTGAGAACAAGTACCCGCTAGCAAAAATATCAACTAGGAATGGAGAGTCCAAAGTCCCAATTTATTTCCCCCGTGAAATAATAGTACTGAATCACTAATCAATACGTATACAAATCAAAACAATAATGCTTGCAGCGGCCATTGAGTGGAAAAAATAATTGGGAAGCACGCACACAAACGCAGTAAACAAGGATTAGAAAATCAAGTGCAAGTTTGGTCATGTGCATGGAGAACTACGTGTCAATTATGCATTTCTGTATGAGCTGAAAGTATATGAGAAACGCTTATAGTGTGGTTTTCAGACACGGGGATGCTTTGTTCATAGATCCATCTTGGTGGATTGCAAATTCCCAAGTACTTACTCTGCTTCTAATTAGAACATAAAGTGATGTATTCTCTTCAAACTTTAGGGACAGGATCAACAGCCTCTTAAATTCATATACTAATCAACATAAAACTTTGCACATGAGGTCTCAAACTAGCTCTGGCATACGAGAGACGAAGAGAGTATCATTGTTCATTGGAACACCAAGTTCAAAGCTTATTAGCATAGCTAAACTTAGCCATTCAATGCACTTCAATCTATTACCATTTGTGTAATCAAAGGTGCTGTTATCCTAAAGTCAGATTTTATTTATTAAGGATGAAAAATTTAAGGATAAGAAGAAATGTACTAATTGTAGGCCAACTAATTAGGTTCACGTGAAGGTGAAAACTCATTTCAAAAAGGTTTCTTTCCTTGAACAATCCTAAAGCTTGACAATCTAGTTACTCACTCTCTCTCAGAACATTAGTTCAAAAACTATACACAACCAAAACACATATTACCATTACCATTTTTAAATATCTATCCATATTCCATACATCTACCGTACACCAAAACACACATACACAACTGAAACACATATTACCATTACCATTTTTAACTAATGAAATTATTCAACGAAAGAAAACCTCATAAGTCATAAGGTGATACCTACTTTCTTAATGAACACTGACAAGAAATCTATCCCGTAAAAACTAAACCCTTTTTTGGAAACTAAAATCCAATTTGGTTTGTAGAAATACCAAACATTATAAGATCATGTTACTACAGATTACCACTCATGATAGAAGGAATACAAAGTTCAAGTAAGAAATCAAGGATTACAAGAAATCCTCACCTCTGTAACCTAGAATAGTAGACCCAGCAACAAAACCACCGACAGCTCCATTGATAAAGTCTCTCTTCATCCGATAATTTTGCACAAGCTGTTCAACGCCAATGTACACTCCCCCAATTGCAGCAAATGTAACCCCGTAGTTTCCCATCATCCTCAGGGTCCTTATCAGCCCAGGAAGAGCGACATTTCTCTCAACACGAGGCACATCATACCAAGTAGCAACTATGGTCCCAAAGATAGTTCCAGTTACAAATCCATTTGTCGCACCCTTAAGTGTCTTCATCAGAGGAGTATCCTCATCCTCCAAATACCTACGCTCTGCCGGGTCCAAGGAGTCCATGACTGTCTACTAAACTGGTACAAACAAAACCTGCAAGCGACACAGATATCAGCACTCACCCCCCGTTTGCCCTTTTTCTGATAGGCGATCTTTCAGCGTACACAACGGAAGAGAAAGAAGAAACTACATTTCATTTTCCGCTATCGGTATTCAAAATTTAAGCTTTACTGGGTTCAAATCTTACAAATTTATCACTACTGCTATCACATTTTTCATTTCTTAACAAAATTCATCCACATTAGCATACTAAGCATTTGGAGAAAGAAAAAAAAAAATTCAACCCCGTAACATCAAAACTTGCACAAATAAATCCCAAATTTTAGTTCTTTCAAACCCCATCGATACAGATGCAATTAAACTCAAATTCACCAAAAGCCCAAATATCTCGTGAAAATTGTCACCAAAATTAGAGCAAATTCTAACGCCGAAGACGACGATCCAATCATCAATAAAAAAACAAACTAATCAACAAGCCGAAACCCTAAATTTGTAAAAAAAAAAAAGATCGAGGAGGATTTGATTCCTCCTCAGAAAATGTAAATTACCTTCGAGGGGAAAATAAGAAGTGGGCGATTTCTACTCAGTTCTCACTACGAACAGAGGAACAAAGACAACCTCAGAGTAAATACAAATGGAAGGAAATGAAAGTTTAGCCATCTGCACCTTGTCACACCAGATTATCATTACTTGCACTGACCATTTTGCCCCTCCTGGCTCTTGTATTTAATAGTTGGTAAGTACTGGTTTGCTTTTATAAAAAATAGGTATAAAAAAACAAGTTGAGCTAAAAAAGATGTTTGTTAAATACTTAAAAACAGCTTATTTTCACAGTTTTTTGTGAAAAAAAAGCTGAAAACGTGAAGCAGCAAAAATGAGCTTATTCTCACAGCATAGCAGAAGCAGTTTTTTTTCAAAGCACACCAATATCAAACCAGCCCTAAATGTCTCGTTTGAAAGTACTTTTAAAATGTTTGAAAGCATTTTTAGGCAAAATATTTTGGGTTTCAAAAGCATGTGAAATGTTTTTTCAAGATTCACTTACATTTTTGCTAATAATTGGTACCAAAACATTTTCACCAAAAAAACTTTCAGCCATTTTAAAAGTATTTGCAAACAAGATCAAAGGATGTTAACTTATCGGGCCAAGCCGAATATCTAACATAATGATAGATTGAGCTTGTTTAAAATTTATCGAGCAAACTGCTTGTATTATCGTTTGTCAAGAGTATTCACCCTTGGCAGCTTAATTAGCACCATAGATCCATTGTTTTGGATCGTAATTGAAGAAATAGGAGAAGTATCAGAGAGATTTAAGATAGAGGAAGCTTAGTGACGAAGCTTAACAGCGAAGACGAAGAGAAAAAGGAAGGAAATGTGGATTTTGGATCCAGTCTTTAGACAGAGGCGGATGATACCATATTGAAAAGTGTATCTTTCATTGAAAATTTAATAATAAGATTACAAGATAGTTGTTTATATACAACTTATTTACACATGTAATTACCAAGCACTCTTAACAAATAAACTACAAACCTCAACTACCTCAACAAACTAACTCTTAAGTATTATCCGACTGAGTCATTTACACAATTACCATTAATAAGCAAAAGGAGAAAAGGTTCATAATAATTAATGTCATGTTGTTGAAGAAAGTCTTTGGCAATAAGTCAAGCTTTATTTCTGTTCAGACTGCCATTGAGTTTACATTTAACCATAAACCCATTTGCAACTGATGATGTTATTGGAGGGAGAAGGTGGGACAAGGGTCCAAGTATTGATAGCTTGGATAGCTGCTATTTCTTCAATCATGGAAGCTTCCCAATAGGAATACAACTTGGGTGGGTCAATCCGAATTCACCCATGTTCAATTCGATTTCAAATCCGATCGGGCCGGTTAAAATGAAGAAAAAACACCCGTCCAAACCCAACCCAATCTCAACCCTATCATTTACACTACAACAAAAATGGCCACTGTACACAATAAATTATATGTGCCCTTTGAGGCCAAAAAGCACCAACAATTGTGCTCATAGACCAATAGCAACAGTGCAGAAACTAAATTTGTATATGTGCTCTCTATGGGCGTCACCATTGCTGATAGCACACAATATGTTGTTTTGTGCCCAAAGGCTAAGCACAAATACAACCCTTTTTGTGTCTCACAATAAAGGTTATTGAATGTATGGTGTAAGATGGGCACAATTGCTATTTTAACGGCTTAGATTGCTGTATAAATGTTAAAGAAAAGGCCCCACAACTTTAAAATTGTGCCATTCTATTATATTTTAATAAATAAATAAAGCTCCAGTACAATTGTAAAAGTGTGACACAATTGGATATTTTTATTTAAATATAGAAATCATCAGGCGTGCTCACAGGACCTAATTTCCACCAAATTTTAGGAACTTACAAATCATCCATTACATAATAAACATAAATCAACATTAGCACTAAAATAGTGAAGCTAATATATTACATAACCCATGTTCTTGGCTATGACCGATTCATGCAACCTAACAATACAACCCATCCAAATGTTAAACAAAAAATACATGTTATCCTATGCTGGATATACCAGGGATTCTCTATATACAACAAAATATAACATATCCAACCTTGTATCCCAATTCAAACGTTATAATGGTTAAACCAGCAATATATAAACAAAATACACATCTACAAGGGCTGCTTGATGACAACTAACCAATATTCTCACTTTGGCAGTCCTCATGCATCATAGCATTAGAAACTGGAGGTCCACACTGCATATTCTTGTCATTTCCACCTTTAAAAAGCGTTGAAATCTGAACGTGTGAGCTTCCACACCCTTGCTGCTGAGTTGAAGTACTTTGTAAAGCACCCACTCCAAATGAACCAATGTTGATGCCCACATATGCCAACATGGCTTTCAATTGCTCAACCATTTGCACCTTTGCTAACCTCAAACTTTCCTCTTGTTCTGCCCTAAGCCTTTGTATGCTTTATTCTTGCTCTTTTTTCATCTTTTCCGCTTTCTTATTTGCCTCATGCATCATACGAGTCATTTTTTCTTTCGCAGTAGCATTGCCTTGTTTCTGAGCTTCATAAGCTTCCCGAAGATACTTCACTTCCCTAGAAATACCTCGGTGCTCAGTAATAATTCCTGGTACATCTGCCCAACAAACTCCAAGGCCAAAGCCCCACACTTGATTCCGCTTCTCAAGCCACGTCAGCATTTAATAGAAGAATTGACAGACAACTGACGGAAGGTATGACATTGCAACAAATTCAAAGATAAGGTATAACATTGAAACTTTTTAAAGACAAGGTATGAAACTGTTAATGACCCAATAATTGAGGTAGTTTTATGTAATTTTCCCAAAAATAAAAATAAGGAAAATAAGATATTAGATTAAATATCTGATGCTTCGAATGCTCTCCAACTCCAAATGAGAGAATGAATGCATCACTTCTCAGTACACTTGCAGGGGTCACTCACACACTTGTTACAAACAATAGCAGTGCAATTATGAATTCTTCATTTCTCTTGCGAGTGGGATGCGAATGCTAAAGCAACAAAATGAGATTCCAAGAACGTTTCTTTGTGACCTTTACCTCCCCTTACTAGATCAAATAGGCGACCTCCAATTAGGGAGGAAAATGCTAAGGAGATTCTCTAAAAAATGAGACTCTCCATGAACTCTCTGCTACCTTATGTTTTTGGCACCATTCTCGTGTCAACATGATAAAATATTGTGCAAAAAATATAAAGTGGCGGAGAGCCTATAGAGAGTAAACTGGAGATGGTTTTATAGTTAGCACTAGCAACAGTGCCCGCGCGTTGTTGTGGGATTGAAAATTTATTTAATCTTATGCAAATTCATGAGTGAAGAAATGAGCATTACAAATAAAAAGTAGAATGAAAATTTAACTTGACAGAGAGACCTCAATGATCTGCCTCAATTCATCATTCAAGACTTGGTCGAACTGTGATTCACTCACTCTATCCCTAAACAAAGGAAAACCAAACTAAGTTCATCAAGGATTATGCATGATCTTTGTGAAACTATATAATGAATGATATAACATTGTTAAACAAACATAGATTGCAACTGATCTTAAAATTCATTTAAAAGGGAAGTGGTAAATACCGTTCACTTGAGATGCTAACTTAGGAGGGTGTATTCAATTGAGAATTTGAGAGATTTTAATGGATTTATAAATCCATGGATTTTTATGGAGTTTAATTGATTTGTAGAGATTCCATGTAAAATTTTGATTCAATTCCCTCGAAATCTCTTGGGGGGAGGTGAGATTTGTGAATGCTCAAAATACACTACGAAATCTCTCCAATTCCCTCTAATTCCTCAACTTTCTCAAATTCTTTAAAATCAAATTCTAATTGAATACACCTGGAATGTTATAAACTTCTTTAAAATTCTAATTGAATACACCCGGATTTCTAAGGATTTTCATAAACTATCTTAAAATCCTGATTGAATACACATTGAATTTCAGAGAATCACTTAAATTCCTGATTGAATACCCCTAGATTCATTAAAAGAATTAAAATCCCTCAAAATCCTAATTGAATACACCCCCCTTAATGTTTCATCATTCAAATGATATTGATTTTGAACCAAAGTATGTGGAAAAAAGAGTAGAAACCTGATTAGTAATTACCACTTCCAGTGGTACCGCACTGCTAAGTTTTACTCTTCAAATCTCCAATGAATAAGGACCTCTATAATTTCTGCTTGAGCACTAACATAAGAAAATTGGTACATAGACGAAGAGTTAAGACTACCTTCCATAAATCAATTGAGAACTACAATAATGTGACAATCTGCATGTATAACCTATGCATCCATCCTTATAGGTTTGATCAGAATTCAATATTTTCAAAATCATGGATGATTCAATTTTAACCTAAAAACCGTGACCAACTCCAGTCCTTGGCATATCAAATTTCAATAAATAGCCACACATGTGAAATAAACAAAAAGAAACAGATCTCAGAGATTAATAGCTTACCATCACAAAGATCTCCATGAGCAAGGGCAACCTAGATGCAATAAATCACGCAACGCCTCCAAAATATCCATGGAGAGTACAACACCATAAACAACACCCAATGCAATTTGAATCCATAGTGCTATGATATAGAACGAAGAAAAAGTTACTTATTACAAACCCAGATTTTATAAAGTGTCATTACCCCAATCTTGTACTTGACCATATGTCATGGTGCTAGAAGCTAACATTTCTAATCTAAAAGCCTAGAAATCATAAAGCAAAGAACATATCTTTTGTCTTGTAAGCAACCATGCCTATATAATCGAAATTTGCTTACCAAAGCGGTCTTACTAATATTATTCATAGAAAAGAAAAATTAATAAAAAGAAAATAAGATAGACAAAAAACTTTCTTTGATTTGAACTCACCCAAAAACAAAAAAATTCTTCCAATTTAGAAGAGAATAAAATAAACCATACTTTCATACAATATCTTAATTGAATTTGGTTTTGGATTGAATAGATTGGAGGAGAATCAAGAGATACACTATAACAGACAATTTGAGTGTAAAAATCATTACCTTCTGATCTGTCATATATGTGATTTATAGAAAGCTAGACAATTTTCTTCAGTGGCAATACATTTCTTCTCCCACTACCTCTCCAACCTGGCTGCCACCTAACTAATAAAATGCAAAACCACACTTTAAATTTTGAAATTGTTTTTCAAAACGAGGTAATTCTAATCCACTCCACTGCATATAAATACTGCATATGTTGAGTGCAGATATTTTAAACAGTGCAACAGTGCATATGTTGACAAAATGAAACAGAAAATATGCTGCACAACATATTTTGAGTGCAGATAATATAAGGTCGCAAGGAGGAGCAATAACAGCTAGGTTGCCTTCACGCATTGTATACTTATTGACCGTGCATAAGAAATGGAGGTCAATGATCTTAAAACTAAAACTGTCATCCAAAGATTTTCAGCTTCAACAGAATCGTATCCAACTGAATCAACTGCTTCTGAAAAGGGTGAAAAAACCATGAATTTGTGCAATCACTAAAGACTCATTATAATGTATACAGTCCTCTTCAATTACATGTACACATATGTATTATGGTATACTATGTCTTGTTTTATATATAGTTAGTCCTGCAGTTTAACATAATTTCTTGTCATCAAAATTAGCATGAGTAGAACAGTGTTTCCAACAACAAATAAGGGGGAAAAAAACCCCAAAATACTCAACACAAATGCTGCAATTTAAGAGCAACCAAACGATTAATAAAAGCAATATTGTTGAATTTTAGGATACCTTCCAGATTACATCATTGTAAAAATATACAAAACTTTGTTTGGCATTGGGTTGGGGGAGGCTAGAAAAAATTTATCATGGATGCATGATATTATTAAATAATAAAATCACAAAGAACACAAGCAGGGAGCAATAATCGCCAAATTGGTTATGGTTGCTTTCATGAACATAAACCAAATGTTCTGTGTCAAAAGACTTTTCCTTCCAGAATCCAAATCCAACAAAGGATCATGAGGGGATCCGTTAGCAATTTACCACTTTGTTACAGTCCAGGAGAGTACAAAAAAGGAAAAAAAAAAACTAATAAGAGATGAGAGAAAAGGAATATGAATAAAAATGTGCGTAGGAGTTATGCTATCTATCAATGGTAATTCGCCAAATTCAAACAAAACCCCAACAAAACTCCATACAAAACCCCAGGCAAGACCCAGCCTGTTTCTCTCTCTTCTCTCCACTCTCCTTCCTCCATCTTCAGCCTCTTCTCTTCCGCTTCCCTCTGCTCCTTCCCCTCCCTCCCCCTAAACCCAATCAATCAAGAATAATTTAAAACATCATAGAATTAATCCAAATTCTCAACCCCACACAAAATTGAAAGCTCGAAAATTTGGAAATCTCAAAGATTGAATCTGAGAAGCGTAAAATGTGGAAAAAAAATACCTGGATTTTTTGTTGAAGGAGGAAAGGAACCTGAGCAGCTCAGTGACTCTGCTCACAGCGATTTTCAAAACCTGCAGAGTTTCTCTCTTGTGATTTTTTTTAAAGAATCTTGCTGGTTTCTTTGGAGGTTTGGAGGCTTTTTTATGTTCGTATACTATTAAAAACAAAAAACATACGTTAGTAAAAAGCAAATAGCATTGACAATTGAATTGAAAAACAAATTGAAGAAAAAAAAGGGGATTTTAACGAAAATATCTCGGTACTGTTCACTTTAACGAAAAATCACATTTTTACACTAAAAAGTCAATCCTGGTGTTATTCACTTTACTCTTTATTTTGTCCTTATCATTAAAACTCAAAGTTTTCGAGACCTTTTCATTAGTTTTACTAAAAAAAAAAAGGAGAGCCTTCTAAAGCTTTTATTTCTCCTGTCATATGAGATTGATAGTGTATCGGATCTTAGTGTTTTTGCCAGATACAGGATATACTCTTATTCACTAACCTTGACAACCATTAAATGACTCCGCCTGACCATTTTGTTGTCATGGGTCATCTCTATCAGAACCGTTGTAACTTGTATTCATCTTTTTATTTCACCACAATTTTAACACATATTGGTCTGTAATGTGATTTGTTTTTCTTTTCAGTAGACATCTGATTAGAGTTATAGAGTGTTCCTTCCTTTTTTACTTCACATTAGAATATAGGGATTGATCATGACATCTAGCAACTGATAATATATGCATGCTCTAACCTAAGAATAAAATAAGAACATACAATTTTGTGAGCTGCAGAGCCACCATAATGCCCTGGTACAGATTCATTCAAGCCGCACCAGTCGTGCTATCATGATTACACAACAATAATTATTCGAAGATTAGAAAGAAATTATATAAGGTTTATTATTTACTTTAATCATATTTTTTTTCATCTTGCTTGGATTACCAGTGACAACTGCTTTTTTTGTAGAGAAAGGGATTTTTTTGCTTGTGTTGATATTGTTCCGACTTTCAATCAAAGTAAAACTCAAAGACAAACAGAGACATGCTTATTTTCGTTCACGAAACTATCCAGAGGGGTGATAAGAGAAACTTTGCAAGTTAAATCATACATGATTTCTGGTTCACATAACTAAAAATTATTGTAGACAACCAAGAACGTAAAAAGAGATTAGCTTCTTAAACCGGTTGTATTTTTATATTTTCATTTTCATGTACCAACAAGGAAACGATAATATATTTCAAAATTAACAGGTTACAGAGAAATATAAATATTGTTTCTAAAGAATTAATATGATTGCAAGTGTAATAGTTCCAAATATAGTGAGATTGGAGAAATGATGGAAGACGCACCGAGATTTGAGGTCCATAGGTTGAGTTCAAGTTATGGATATTTTGCACATATCTAGAGTTCAAGTTTTTAAACAAGGAATCAATTTATCATCAATTGCAACATTCATTATTTGTAAACAAAGTTATTGATTCACATATAAACAAATGAAAGCAATAAAAAAAAGAAAGGCTTACCACAAGCTGGCTGGTATCACAAAACATTAACATTATTGAGAATAGAGAGGTTAGAAAACACAATCAAACAATTGGTATTTGGCGGTGAAACTTAAAAACCAAAAATGTACCTTAACGTCCTAGAGAGAACATAATTGTAAGCAAAAAGTAGAATATTGAAACTATATTGTGATAGTCACGAAATAAGTTTATTGGTTTGCTAATATTGATTTATTAGGTTCCAAGTTTGTCTCAATTTATCCTTTTCTGTTAAATTGAAAGTGTAAACATTTAGGTACTCACCAAGAAAAAAACAATTAATTGATGCTAAATACAAAACCGGCTGACCTTGAAATATAAACCAGAGAAACTAATTGAAATAATCAAATCCCAAATTCAATTTCAAAGGTAGATACGATCATAAGAGTCATGCAAAGGTGTGGCAGATGACTATAGACCATAATGAAACTACTTTTATAGTTATTTACTTCTTCATGATAGTTACGGTCTAGCTAAGCTTCTACACCTTTTTAGTAGCAATTAACTCTGCTTCCAAGGCATCCACCTGACAAACAACAGTATTCGGCAATTCCAAAGGGAGTCCTTCCGCAAAGTCCTTAAAACAACTCAATCAAAATGAACGTGGAATGAAAGTCAAAAGTAAAATCAAAATGAATGTAGAATCAAAATAAAACATTGGATATAACACTATAGAGTCTAAAAACTGAAAGGGTTAAAATAGTCCAACTTCGAACTGATTACCAAGTATAGGTTGAGCGGCGAAATCTGTGAGTGTAAGATTGTGAATTTAGAACAATAAATTGTATACCAGTATACCACTCAAATAGAAGGAGATCGAAACCTAAAAAATAAAAGAAATAAAACAAGTTGGTAACAAAACTAACACAAAATTGACCCTGCAAAACTGTTAATATATTAAAAACTAAATGTTTCAACAAACTATATACTTCAGCAAAAACCCCAAAATTAGAACACCAGCGTTTCCTGAAAGCAAAAAAATAATGAAATCAGACAGCCACACATAGCATCCGAGCACACAAACAAAACCCCCAAAATTATAAAAAGAAAATTTAAATACAAAATCCATCAGTAAATCGAAAACAACCAACACAAAAAATAAATCAAACACACGGAGAAAGATGAAAAACTCTTCAGGAGACTCTAGGTTATGAAATCGAGAAGAAGTCGAACAAACGCCGAGAAGTGGCCCCGCAAAGAAACGAGACGAAACGGCATTGTTCCTACGTGGACTCCAGCTTTTTGACTTGTTACGACATATTCTTCTCTCCCTCTCTCCTCTCTCTATCTTATTGTCCGCAACCTCCACAGCACTCTCTCTCTCCGTGCCCGTTGCTTCCTCCAAAGTTCATCTAACCCGAGCTCCGACGTCGTTTTCTTCTCTCAAAAATGTAATCTTGATTACGTTTCGGTCAATTTTACTGTTTTTTCTTCACACTTTCCACTCCGTTTGGTTGCCGAGAAAATGCGGGAAAACGAAAGAAAATTTACTTTTACTTCTTTCACGTTTCTCTGACTATTTGCTTTACGATTGATTGCTGCATTTGATGAAGTTCGTTGTTTTGGGGTACATGATCTCCTGTTTGGTTACCGAGAAAGTGGAGGAAAATTTGAGAAAGGATAGAATCTGAACTTGTGAACTCTCTGTTATTCGGGCCGATCAGACTAAAATGGTTAATTTTTTTTAATTTCAGGTAAATAGACTTTTAATGTTAGTTTTCCAAGGATTATACCAAACGGAAAGGTCAGGAAATTTAGATACTGTAGGAAATTTGGCGGGAAAATAAATAGAACCGTCGTTTCTGGAAAACGACTTGACGTTTTAGATACTGTAGAAAAAGTAGGTCTTTGTGCTGTCAGAGTGATGTGGTCACTAGGGGTGGAAATCGCAAAACCGCAACGAACCGTATAAAAAAAAAACCAAAAAGAACTATGTCGACCGAAAAAGTCAACTTTGAGTAAAAAATCGAACTGAACCGGTTCAAACCGGTTTCGATTCCGATTTCAAATAAACAAGAACTGGCCGGAATCGAACCGAACCGTTTTATTAATAATAAATAAATAAAGTATGTATATATATACATATATACACACACATGTCATGGTATAATAGGTTGAAAAATTAGTTTTACCAAGTTGCAAAACAGTGGATCCCATCCCAATTAGGGCTCACCCATCTCACCCTCACCTCACTTACTTCCTCACATCCCCCATTTCACACTTTTAAACTTTCATTCTTTTTCACTCAATCGACCACCTCACTCATGGTCTCTCATCTAAAAACATCAGCGATTCCTCGGGCATACCACAACATCAGCTCTCTATGATGACCATCATCATCCCCCATCCGCGACAGCTCACAACGCTTTGTCCTCCGTCCTCCCTCCTTGGTATTTTCTCTATCTTTTCTCATATTTGAGATTAGGAATATGACTGAGTTCTACTAGTTTTCCATTTTCTCTTGGGCTAAATTAAAATTTACACTTTTTTTTTTGTTGTACTACTGTATTCTTGTGAGGTTAGCTCGTGTTGAGTGATGTGCAGCCTAAATTGTAATAGTATCACTTAAAACTACCATATGTTGGTAATCAATAAGAGCATCCATTATTTTTGCCAAGAATTAAAGGGTAGGGCTGGACATTGGGTGGATTGGGCAGGGTTTACCCTCAACCCGTAGGCGGGGCCGACATGCTCAGAATACCAACAAAGCTGCATAGGAAACTAGGAATCTTAAAAGAAATTTAATGGAGTGGCTATGGAGGATGCAACGGAGAAAACTGAAGTTGGGGATTTTGGAGAAGTAAAGCGGCTTATGATATTTTAGAAATCAAAAAGCTAATGTGTGGGAAAGACCACAAAGTTTTAACTTGCATCCATTAAGAGCATGCCATGTGGCATGTGTTAAAGATAAAAGCTTGTTTTAATACCATGCGGGTGTGTTGGGTTTTCAAGGGTTGGGATTTTATAAACCAACGTTGGTAACACAACGTTAAGGACAATCAAAATCACATGGGTTGTTAAGGACAATGCCCACACCTTATGTGTGAATCTATATTTCTATAATTTAGTATATGTGTGAATGGATTTGTTGTTTGTATTGAAAATTGGATTGAAACTTAGAAGGGGAGGGAAGGGAGAGGGGTGGGTTGGTGTTTGACGCGGATGAGAGAATACAAGGTGTTGATGTATGTGTGCTTACTTTCTTATTTTCTAATGAATTCTTGATTTTTTACATGTTCTAGAAAAAATGAATGGTGGCACATCTAGCATTGGGGCTTCAGAAACTATTCAATCATAACTCATCACCTTTTACTATTGATGGTATGTATGTAACTTTAGTTTTATAGCACCTTCCTTATTAATTTGAATTGTAAGCTTGTTGTTTGATGTATGTTGTTTGCTTGCTCTCTGAAATAAGAAGTTGTTTGATTTTGTTTGCTCTCTGAAATAAGTTATTTGATTTGATTAAATGTTGTTTGATTGTTTACAAAAGCTGCTGTTTAAAAAAGAATCTGCCATTGCCAATGACATTTGGATTTTTGTTTTTGCTTCTTGTTGCTGCCAATATCAAGAGACCAATGCATATTTCCTTTAATGCTATTTGAATATTTCTTTTTTCTTG